GGGGGGGGGGGGGGGGGGGGGGGGGGCAATAGAGACAGGGGATTATTTGAGAGGTGGGGGCACATTTAATTTAGCAAAATGGTGGTATCAGTTCTCTATAAAGAACTGGAACGCAAAGTGGAAAAGCTTAAGTCCAAGAAGTTGGAAGTCATGCAGCTGAGAATCAAAAACAAATCTGCACTACAGTATAAACTGTTGTGATTGGTTAACCCAGTAAATCATTTATCAGTGAAGAATAATATGGGCAGGGGTGGTGGGTTTTAACTTTCCTCCGCTGGAGTAGGAGGACTTATTAGAGAGGGGAGCTTGATAGAGGGTTTAAGGTACAGCAATTTGATCATATGAAAACTTCTAGGAACTACGAACCTTCAAGAATGGTTCCCATTTTAGGATCCTTTTTTGATTTCTTCTTAGGAATTCCTTGGTAAGGAGCATATTCTACAATGGCTGGATACTCCACACCTAAGGAGAAGATGGTGTGGAAATAAAAAAGAAAAATAAATTTTTACAAGGCTGTGTTTTAAGGAAAATTGAAGGGAGCCCAGTACTCATAAACTGTAAAATCTGGGGTGCCCAGCATATAATTTGTATGCAGAAACTATTAAGACTTCCTAGTCCCCCGAAAGCAAAAGTTAGGTGCTTATTGCACATATATGTCACATGTACAGCTATTTCAAGTAAGCTTGTGGCAAAAAATGTGCACGCGACAATCCCGAAAGGTAATGTGGGATATGATCAATGACTTGTTCCTGACACTGTAGCTGTCAAACCTACCTTTGTTGCTTTCCTTTAGCACTCACGAACATACGTCCATGGCCTCACTTGCCATTCTTTGAAATTTCTTTGAAAAACAGTGAACTAAAAACCACCCACAATACCTTTAGGGATTGTCGCGTGCACTTTTTCTGACAACCTTTCTCGAAACAGCTGTATATAGATTTGGTTAGCTCAGGGCAGGGGTTACCAGCCTTGGCTAGAGCATAGCCCTGAATTAAAGATTAAAGCTAGAAAATTGACACTGAACAAATTACTGATTTAAGACAGTGTTCCAAGCCACATTCTTCCTCATTATCTTCATTGTTACTTATGGAATGGAGAATCAGTTTCTCCGTTGCATTAGCAAGGCAAATTTACAAAGAAATGGATATTTATAATTTAGGATTTCAGCATATTTTCATTGGCTTAGAGTATTATCAACTGAGTTAACAAATTAACAAGAATGAACTGAAGATACCTTTGCTGTTCACAAATCGATAACCATCAAACTGGTCTCGAAATTTTATGATATCATCTCTGTTTTTGAAATTGATGTAAGCTCTTGCAAAGGATACAGGACCAAAGCTGTGATAAAATAGTAACCCAACAATTTAATACAGGCAGCTTTTTTAATGAAATTAGCATTTAAGATACTCCTTGCTATACTGTGATCTATTACTTTGCAAATAATTGTAACAATTACAATAGTAAGTGTGATCTCATAACACTTACCGCAACCTTTATTATTCTGTATATTACAAAAACCTAATCTAAACATTGTTCTATTACTCACTACTTGGAAGAAAATGATGAAAAACTAAATGTCACACAGAATGTACAGTTTGACATTTCTCTTAGAAATCATGCATAATTTGCACGTGCAACCTAATGATTAGACAGTTAGCTGCTACACCATAGCACGTAACTAAGTAATCTTTAGTTTGCATTGATTTCCAGAATTCACTGTAGACTCTTAGCTAATGAAAAGACTGATAGTGAGTAAACTGTTATATTTTACAGCAATGTGCAATTTTTTGAATCTGTGAATATTATTAATCATAATTTTGGTTTGACTATTTAAACAACATCTCTTTGGCAGAACTCTTGGACCCTATAAACAAAGACATGTTACCCCCTTAAATTGCTTTTCTTTTCCAAAAACAGCAGTGACAGCTAGAACTATATCTGTTTGCCAGCTAGCAGAAACTCTCACGACACTACTTTTACCTTAAAATGTTACTCTAAATGGAAGATTTTCTTTTTGATTGGGATTTCCTTAGAGTAAGACAGTTACAAAAATGAAGTTACCTCATATCACTACCAACAAAGTAAAAAAAGTCATGCTCAGGGAGTTCCCCTAACTCTTCTTTCAGCTGATCTTCAGTTAATGATGGAGGAAGGCGACGAATAACGACCTAAAATATGACCACAATCACAGTAAATAATATACCATATTTATTCAGCCATAAGCCAAGACCCCAAAACTTTGAACATGTACAACTAGCATAACCCTCCTGGGCTCAAATTTCACTTAACTTTAGCTTTAGTTTGTGTAAAAATAACTTGGCTTATAGCCAAATAAATACAGTAGATCTAAGGGGGAATAAAAGTCACCTACCAGCAGAAACTTTTTTCTGCTTACTTGATTTTGGTGTACTTGAGAAATACTCTGCATGATTTGAGTATAAATATTTATAATTTGAGCATGCACAGCATGTTGGTAGGATATAGTTTCCAACCCAGGCCTCATAGCTGTGCACTTGCTATAGTGGGCTTGGTTATGACCATCGGTATATAAATAAACAGACGCTTGCACTTGAAAAAACCAGTTTGACGAGAGAGAACACAATTGACTAGTTGAAGAGTTTGGCTGCGGTGACCTCAAAGGATTGATGTGATGTACGCATCTTTTATTCCCCTCCTCAATCAAGAAGACAAAGGAGGCGCTGCTTGCAAGGTGAATAACATACAACTACACCCCGAAGGCCGGGGAGGTGAATAGTGGTGGATATATGAACTGAGACGCAAAGTGATGAGGTATATATCTAGCACTATGAACCGACCCTGAGGGGGACAGTCGTTTTAGTATTTACCAAATCAATTGGATAAAAATCAAAAAGAAACTTTTTGTCACTAATTCATTTACCACTAAAATTTCATCTTTTGAAACTGTCATGAAACAAGAAGCCATTTTGAATCCCACCCCAAAACAGTGAATATCCAAGGATATTCTGAGTTAATATATGGGAGCCAATCAAAACATGCAAAAACTGCTATTCACTGATTTGGTGAAGACTAAAAGACAGTATTCAACAAACAATAAAATCAGTTAAGCTTAAACTAACCCATCTTGCCTCATAAAGTTAAAAGAAATAATTATTTAAATACATTACCAACTCTTTACCTTTTTTATCAGTACTTATTTAAGACGTGAACAGTACAAAATGCAGACTGCAGACCATTGTATACAGGGTTAGAAAACAATGGGACTATTGTTGTCACGTTCTCATTTGCATGGTGAAAACAATAGTCTGCAACAGTCTTCAGTCTGCATTTTGTACTGACCCATTAAAGATGCCTGCCAACTTTGCAGTTCATAAAAATTTTTGTGTATCGCAGGAAACTTTGCCCAGCGGCAAGCATGATTCTCAACTTTAATCAGATAGGTAAGACGGAGTCCATCAGGAAATTGAGTAAGTTTAATTTTCAGTAGACAAAAACCTTGTGCTAGAATGATTTAAACAAAATCACATTCTTCTTTACATTTTTCAAGGGTTATAGATGCAATTAGTTATCTGTAATAACACCAAAGAAAATTTCTTATGGGAGCCCAAGAAAACGTATGTCAAATTTCACAAAATGACATCTTACACATGAAATTTTCAGAATTTTACCTGTGTTTTCAAAATTATAGTGAAATTTGACATTTATTTTCTCGGGATCCCAAGGGAAATAGTCTTTGGTGTTATTACAGCCCTTGAAAAAATGTAAAAAAGAATGCGTTATTGTTTAAATTATTCTGGCACAAGGTTTTGTCCACTGAAAGTTAAAATTACTCAATTTTCTGATGGATTCCGTCTTAAGTTTTACCTTATATTGTAGCTTCAGACTTAATGATTTAGGTTTGCAAAGTGCAAAACAATACACCTAAAAAACAGAAAACATCCAAACAAAATACCTTTGTTGGAAACAAAAGCCTTTCCTTCTTAGACTTAGAAGTACTGGAAGGCTTTTCCCCCTCAGTTTTGCCCATAGTAGTCAAATGTTATACATAGCTAGAATTCAAATGCTACACATCACTTTCGACAATTTACTTTCGCCATCTTTGTTGTGGGGAAGCTAGTGCCAGTCCTCTAAATGAGAATCTCATGTATAGCAAACATAACGAATGTATCTCTCATGTACTCAAAACTGACCAAAATGTTTGCTGGCACTGCAGCAAGCAATCGGATTTCCATTTCACGCAAGATAGATTCACATGACTTCCTCGAGACGCGTTACATATCTACCAAAATTTTCTGTGACTTTGTAGACCTTGACCCGTATGGAAAAGAACGTCAAGATGAAGAAGAAGGTATATGTCAATTGATTTTACTAGTTTATTTCCCCATAAACGTTGAAAACCGTCCTTGTAAACTTTCGTCCGGTTGTTTTAGGTTCTTCTGATGGGCAAGAGTGGCTCTGGGAAAACCAGTATGCGGTCGATAATTTTCGCCAACTATATCGCAAGAGACACCAGAAGATTAGGCGCAACAAGTAAGACGTTCATTTCCTTAATTTTTATTCATTGGGCTGCGTTTCTTGGCTTGAATTTTCTTTACTTTCTGGACTGTATTTTATACCTAGTCGTGTTGCACAGGAAAGATCAATACGCGCTCAATTTATCTTTTTAGTCGACGTCGAGCATTCTCATGTGCGATTTCTTGGAAATTTGGTTCTCAATCTGTGGGATTGTGGAGGGTAAGTTAGTTAACTGTTCCAACACATTTTGCGAGCTTAGATATAAGAGAATCTGATCCTAGTAATATACAGAGATATTTCCCTACGTACTGTAGCTAAGCACTTCACATATCTAGGGCAAGTCGTTAAGGCTGTTCACAGGTAAGGTTTCCCCATAAATTTACTATGCTTTTATGTCGTGACTCTATTCATGTAAACTAGTTGCATGAAACAATATGATATTGCTAAATGTATAATAATCTGTATGGGGGCTCTGCAGAAATCTTGCAGAATACAAGGGGCTGGAGGGAATGTGTTTTTTATCCAAAGGGTACATTTAGTTGGAATGTGTTCCATAAATTTAACCATAAAGATCTGACGATAGCAAAGGCAAGGAGAACATCAAAAGCAAATTAAATTCAGGGAGCAAAACTACAGCTTTGCATGTGCAGCATGCTTTTCTCAATACATTTGACATTTTGTTTGCTGTCCCTGCCCGACTGGGACATGAAAATGCTTTATTTTACATCCTTTGGAGGAAGTAAACAAGCGACCATAAAATTTTCTTTCTCTTTCTGAACTGTGTGGGATCCTAATACCACCGTAATAAATCGTTACAGTTGTAGGGTACTAAGAAAGTCAGTTTTACAGCTTGTCCTTTGATATACCAGCCCCAAAGAATTTTCGATGTGTATAGTCGACTCCTGGTAACTCAAATCCTCTATAACTCAAACCTTCCGCTAACTCGAAGCAATTTTCATTTCCCTTCAGCTCGTTTTCTATATAATTTTACCTTGAGCTTGAACTTTTTTCTGTACTTGTTGATGGTTCAAATTAAGGGGAGTCAGCTGTAGTTTAAATCTTTAATTTATAATAAATTGTTATTATTATTTATTAATTGATTACAGCATTAGTTAACAAATTACTTGCTTTCTTAATTTATTGTAATAGATCAGTTCGAAGAACAGCTTCATCCACATGAATTTATTAGGAATTTAGACTGTAATATTGTTTAAATTCAAATTACAGAAGTGTTGCAAGAAAAATTATTACAGTACTTTTGTAATATTTAAATTCTCCCTAAAAACCTTTTGCTGCCCATTGTACAAGTTAAGAACAGACTTCATGTGATGCATTACAAAATCAACTTGTCCGGGGCTATCGGACATGACTTTCTTCCACACTGCAGTTATTATGATGTAAAATGTGTGACAAGTGGATGAACATGTAAAAACCTGCTTAACGGAGAGATTAGTTAGTAAGATTATTTCTCCCTTATTTTTTCAGGCAAGAGGCATTCATGGAAAACTATTTTACAAGCCAGAGAGACAACATTTTCAGAAATGTTGAAGTTCTAATCTATGTGTTTGATGTAGAGAGTCGCGAGTTGGAGAAGGACATGCATTATTATCAGACTTGCTTAGAAGCAATCCTTCAAAATTCACCTGATGCAAAGATATTTTGTCTAATACACAAGATGGATTTGGTCCAAGAGGATCAGAGAGACTTGGTGAGATACTTTTTCTTTCTCTGTTAGTTCCACGGGTATTATAGTTGTAAATTTTGCAAAGAAAACTTATCTGTCTGAGGAATAAACAGATTTTAAATGAAATTTAATAATAAAATTATAAAAAAATTAATAATAATGATTATAAGTCATTGGCATATACATGTTTAGTGCATGTGGCCTGATATTAACCCTTGTGACCAACATCAATTTTCTCCTAACGATATCCATAGATTGTCAAGAGCAAAGTCTATGAGAATTAATAAAATGATCACAAAGAGAAAAATCTTTGATCTTTTATCAAATTCTCTCAACTAATTCTTTAAGGAAATGTATAGAGATAAGTCTGGAGAATTTGTATGTGGATACTGGGGCTTAAAGGGTTAAAGCTGATGTGGCATCTTTTTAAGAAGAGCAGTGTATGTATATGTTATGGGTCAAATTTGATTTTAGGTTAGTTTAATTTAACTAGGTTGAGTCTCTATTTCCTTTGTTTCCTAGTCGTAACTCATGAAAAATTAGGGCTAGGAGTCGAAGGAAATTGAGAATCAACCTACAGCAGGTTAAAAAAATTTAACCTGAAATCAAATTTAACCTGTAACATATACTTCATTTTGTATGAACGTGTGTGCCAAGCTACATTATTTCTTTTTGTATCTGGCTCTCTCATAACAGATTTTCAGGGAGCGAGAAGATGACCTGAAGAGACTCTCTAAGCCCCTCGATTGCACCTGCTTTCGCACTTCAATCTGGGATGAAACACTCTACAAAGCTTGGTCATCTATTGTGTATCAACTCATTCCTAATGTTACGCAGTTGGAGCAGAACCTTGAGAACTTTGCGTCCATTATTGATGCTGACGAGGTTCTGCTATTTGAGAGAGCCACATTTCTTGTAAGTACTCTGTTTTTTGATGTCCAAGCCAATGAAAATTAAACACAAGTCAGTGCCCCCCTCTCCCCCGACTCAAAAAAATTGGGGAGCAATGCTTGCCTGTTAAGATAATAGAAGGCTACCTGAAAAATTGTGCTAATTCTGGGAAATTCAGAATTCGAAATTCCTTTTCAAACTGAAAATCCAGAAAACTCAACAGAGAACCCTTACAAAAGGGCTGAAAAGTAACACGTACAAAAGTATTTTAATCTTCCTGTAAATTTTGAGGCAAGAGACACAACAATCACTGTCTGCTAATAGTCAGCAACTTTGTACTCGCTCGCACTGATCCTCTACACCATTCCTGGCACTCTTAAATGATTACGATGGGACTGAAGACTTTGTTTGTACAGAGCAGTGACTAAACTTGTAAAAGTCTGACTTTTTATTTTGGTATTATTTTTCTTTTTTCTTTTCTTTGTTGTTCATTTTATTCATCTAGTTTGTCTTGTTATTCTTCTTGATGTTATTAGTGTAAGTGGCTGTGTTCCAAGCCTTATCTTCTTTCTTGTTTTGTAATTTAGGTTATTGTCCTTCAGGTGTATTGTATTATGTGAAAGTATTGTAACAAAAGGAAGTCTGACTTGCTCATCACTTTATATTATTCTGTTTGTCATCTCCAGGTTATCTCTTACTGTCAGCGCAAATCCCACAAAGATGTACACAGATTTGAAAAAATAAGCAATATCATCAAGCAATTCAAACTCAGTTGCAGGTAAACAAATGTCAGTCATTTGAAAACAAGGAGAAAATAAGTTGTTTGTTATATTGGAAATAGTCAAACAGTTTGCAGATACATTACATGTCCATGAAGCTGAGCAGTTCGACTGTTGTAAAATGAAAGTTACATTAAAAAAGAAAAGGTATTTTTAGCAGTTGGGGCCGGCGTACGTTAATATTAATTTTATTATAACATCATGTGGAAACACTCTGTCATCAGGAATCCTAATACCTAATGTTAAATACCAGGACTGTCATTAAGTTTTAAGCAGCCCTAGCAAATGAAGATTGACCCGTAACATCTCACAAAAATCTTAAGCTTTCCACTTTGATCACCCGCAACGCCAAGTGTGCTTAGCCATAACAGGTGTTATGGGTTACAACCCGTAATGACAGCTCTGGATACCAGATCCCATCCCTTCCTGTCTAAAGCCAGGGGATGGGGTTCAAATTTTCATTGTACTCCAACCAAAAGGAGATTGTGTACATAGTAAATTGTTAGTCTTTTTACTCAATTTACTCTATTTCTATTTCTCCTGCCCTGCCATCCGTTACATTCTACTGGCTATCCTCATCCAAGCTCCAAAAGGTTCTATGATACACAAATTTTCGTTGAAGCTCAGACTTGTTCTTTACTTTCAAGCTTTACTTGGCTGTAACTGTGCTAACCGTCTTTTCCAGCAAACTGCATGCTCATTTTCAAAGCATGGAGGTACGGAATTCAAGCTTTGGAGCATTCATTGATGTCTTTACACCCAACACATATGTCATGGTGATCATGTCTGATTCAACAATCCGTAAGTGCTAGACATTTATAACTACAGGAGGACTTAGCATTTACATGGAAAAGCCAGAAATTTTGGTTGGAAAATCAAATGGTTTGCATAATTCCATGTGAAAGGCTTCAGAAAATTTGGAATGGGATTTGAAGCAATGCAGTTTCCTATATTGTTTTGGTGTGTTCAGCTGATTTGCATATAT